AAGGGAGTCTCTGCCGCTGACGTGCCACGGAAACTTGCCCTGTTCAGGCAGTGCACCTGCTTATCGAAAGCAATCTGCATCATGTGAACTCACACTTTATTTAGGGCCGATTGCAGGCAGCACATTGCAACGCTTTGCTTTAATGGTCTTGAGGTGGCTGGATCAAAGAGCCCTACCCCCTCTTTCACACTGGCAAATCAGCTCTTTCAGGAAGCCAATCTTGGATCTAAAAACTGCAAAGTGTTCCCAAGCGAAAGTTTATGCTGCATGAAATAAAGCCCCTTGCCCTGCTGTCTGAAACATGTTTGTCATGGAACCATTTCGATAAGGAACAACTTTTAAGATCGTCTTTGTATCTAAAAACTTCTGAAATGTGCAAGCTGTCATGCTGTTCAACTCTTTCGTTACTGCAAGAAAATGGTCATTTGTCAGATGTCTAAGGAAGAAAGTTCTTGCCGTTCGGAAAATTACTCTAGCATGTATTGCAGCATACCAAATTATGCATAAAGAAGTGCTCTTCTTAAAAGGTATATGTTATAGAGATACAAAAACAATGTGGAATGTATAAAATGTTGAAAATGTTTAAACAGAGCGATGGAAATCACTATAATGCAAGAACATTCAAAAGAAAGGAAAGTTGGAAGGTACATTTTGAGGATAAATATACCCTATACCCTAAAGCAGTAGTATGAAAAATAATAAATGCTCTACTCAATGTTTTTTCTAACACGGAGAGAAAAACTTGAGCCAAGGTACTGATTCATTGCTCATGTTATATAGTGACGCACTTCCTAATTTTGTTGAGACACAGTTGCACGTTTGGCATAATTCTTTTTTTGGAAGAGCCTGCCGGTGTTTCAATTTAGGTGGATGCCTGGATGTGAACAATGCCTATATAAACTACAAGTCCAGTGAATTTCACCAGTTACTCTGGCATCGCCTCTTTCGATGAACCGCATCTGTCTGCATAGGTTGGCTTCCCGAAATATGCATCTGAGCATATTTACTTGTTTAGAAAGTGTCTCCTGACAGCAAGGGCAGCAGAATCTTGGAAAAATGCTAACATCATCTTAATCCATAACAAAAGGTACAACAAAGAATTGAAGAATTACAGACCAGTCAGCTTGCTCTCCGTCATATCCAAGCTATTTACAAAGGTAATTGGTAGTAGAATTAAGACATTGGAATTCAATCAAGCAAAGGAACAAGCAGGATTTCAATCTCAACTATTGACCACATTCATACCATCAAGAATCAGGTGATAGAGAAATGCCCAGAATGCACCCGACCACTATACATAGCCTTCATAGATTGCAAGAAGGCATTTAATTTCGTAGAGATATCAGCAATCATGCAGACATTGTGGAGTCCGGGTGTCGACAAAACATATATAAACATCCTGGAAGAAATCTACAGAAAATCAGCTGCCACCATAGTGCTCTATAAAGAAAGCGACAGACTACCAATAAAGAAGCGTGTAAGACAAGGGGATGCGATCTCCCCAATGCTATTTACCGCGTGCGCGCAGGAAGTTTTCAGAGGCCTAGAATGGGAAGAGTCGGGGATAAGAGTTAATGGAGAGTATCTTAGTAACCTGTGCTTCGTCAATGACTTTGCATGGTTAAGTAACTCGGGGGACGAACTGCAATTCATGATTACCGAATTAGACATGGAGAGCAGAAAGGTGGGTCTTGAAATTAATCTGCAGTAAAGTAATGTACAACCACCTCTGATGAGAGCAGTGCTTCAAGATAGGCAACAGTGCACTTTAAGTTGTAAAAGAGTACATCTACTTAGGACAGAAAGTAACCGTAAAACGCTACAATTGTACAGATAATCATCTAAGGTCTGTTCAAATTTCGACAAATCGTTCTGGTCAACAAACTCACCGCAATTCATTCCACATTTCAATTGTATTAGGGAAAAAGGAGTATTTGAATCTATCCGTACGAGTCCTGTACGTTTGAATGGCCCTGTTGTGGTTGCTTCTTGAGCCCTTTTTACCTGTTGGCAGTAAGTATACTTCCTTGCTAACATTTATTTGGCCATTAAGAATTTGAAATAATAGTTTCAGACGATTTTTCTGTCTGCACGTTTCTAACAAATGGAGGCCAGAATAATGGAGCGTTTCTGTAACCGATTCCGTCCTTCGATACCGGGAGCATATAAATCGCACCGCGTACCTTTGAATTTTTTTCTATTTGTTTCTTTAAATGATATTGATGAGGGCTCCATACCATTGACGCGTACTCAAGAACAGGCGTTATAAAGGTTTTATAAGCAGCAAGTTTCACATCGGCTATTGCACCTGCTAGTTTTTTTTCGTAGAAAACATAGCCTCCCATATGCCTTTGAACAAACATTGTTAATGTGTATGTTTCAAGATAAATTTTTCATGATCGTTAATCCTAGATATTTAAATTGAACAGTATTTATCAAAGACTTGCCTCCGATGGTGTATGAAAATAAAAGACGGCTCTTCTTTGTTGTAATATTTGTGTACGCCTGATTTAGAATAATTAATATTTATATTCCATTTTTCACACCATTTGCTCAAGGCCTGTAAAAATATGTAAATTTTAACTTGATTCTCTTTGTTTTGTACAGTGGAATAAAGTAAACAGTCATCTGCAGATAGTTTAAGGTGCACACCTAGCTCCATAAAGCAGAGATGTCATTAATATACACCAAAAACTAGAGTGGTCCCAGAACAGATCACTGCGGAACTCCCGAAAGCACTGACAGTGAGTCAGAGACATGCCCATCCAATTTTACCTGCTGCTTGCGATCAGTTAGCTATGCCTTAATCCACTTTATAACAGTGACATCAAGTCCGACTGTTTCCAGCTTGTAAATTAGCTTATTGTGTGGCACCTTATCAAAGGCTTTGGCAAAATCTATGGCTATTACATTAATCTGCTCCCTAGTATCAATTGCCTTAGCGAAATCGTGAATCATCTGTATGAGTTATGTGATAGTGGAGAAGCTTGATCTGAAGTTAGGTGGGCAGATGAGATTAGGAAGTTTGCAGGTATAAAGTGGCAGCAGCAAGCACAGGACCGAGTTGACTGGCAGAATATGCGAAAGGTCTTTGTCCTGCAGTGGGCGTAGTCAGGCTTATGATGATGATATCTACTCGTGTATTTCTTGTAAGTAGAACTGAAAAAAAAAAAAAAAGAATGATAACACGTGTTGTCCTAAAACACCTCCCGCCGCTCTGTATTGTGGGGTTAAAGTGTGATATGGGTGGTCTTGTTGTGAGTAGAAGCCTTGCAGCTGGCGCTCGTATATCGTGCCTCAGCGACATATGAACCTTGCACGAAGGCAGAGTAGCTCTAAAATGATGCGCAAAGGTCAGCAGCTATGCACACATGGCAGAAGAAACCACTTGAGTCTGTAACTGAAACCAACTCCGGAATGGCTGCAGATGTCCCAGGCTGACAGGAAACATCTTAGCCGTCGGAGCATTAAGCTGAAGTGCTGTCATCTTCGGACTCAAAGCCCGGTTGAACGATAGATAAGAGAGGCGCACGTTTTTTTACGACCCATGCCCTTCTGATGACTAGACCATGGTAGCGACTAGCAACACTTGATGTAGTCCTGTGTTTGATATAACAACGTAATTGAAACCAAAGCTGCTGGAGACTGGTTCTGTTGGAACATATGTGCCTATCGTACGTTTTTCTTTGTACCACATCCACTGTCCTGCTGCATGCCTTGTAAGAGGGGCCCGAATCTCCGTCAAGTGAACGATGTTTTGCTTTTTGTTTGGGCCTGCTTCGTTTTTTTGTGTATGGCAAGAAAAATCTAATAAAATAAAAATTGAATTGAATTGAAAAGGCTACCTCCACATGTTGCAGACCTTCGGAATTTGTTTTTGGTTGATAAATCTTTCCCGACTTCAAATAACAGCTCTCTAGAGAACTGACATAAATTTTAGGCAGTTATTACCACTCAACATTGTGAGATTGCAGAGCTGACACCTTTATTAGATATTTGACTTGCAAGGGCTTTTTGGACTGCAGAACTTTGATGTTACTGAAGTGTAACCACGAGCGGCATGCATATCTCTCGAATTGATCAGTCGAGTGCATATTTCCTACAAAATGTGCACATTGGTTCGTGGAATTGTCTGTAAAAAATTACTATGTTGCCCAAACGAGCAAATTCAAGGAGAAAAATGAAAGGACAGGGAGGTGAGCCAGTTGGACAAATTCCAACGGATTTCTAAAGTGTAGCAGCTGGACTAACAACGAGGAGGTGCTGTGTGCATGAGAACCAAATTCATCACGGCGAAATTCACGATTCAACGCATTCATCACCGGCGATTGAACTGAATAGAAAGAGTTAAAAAGCATCTGTGAGTTTGCTGTCAATACTGGCTACAGGCTTATGACACAAAACTGGAGCTAGGCATGAGATTTATGTATATACTGTGAATATTTGTAACAAGAGCTGTGTCATGCAAAAGCTGGATGAAGCGTGCATTAGCAAAATATCATTACAGCTGTACTTTTCGCAGATTAGATTTCTTGAGCGTTAGTTGCCATGTTAAATATGTTTGTGGTTCTAGGTACGTGCGTTGTGTTTCAGTATGGTATATTCTTAACAACTCGACATAAATCCAGTTGGAAGTGCGGCCTGTGTAGTTGTCCTCAACTTTTATTGTATGGGTTTTTTTAGCGGCAAATATGCCTTCAAATGCACTCCAACCAGGCCATGAACAAGTTCTCCTTGAGGGTGACTTTCTACTCTTTGCACCTTCTTTTAAAAATACAGGCATTGTTTTACCATGTTTTTTTATCTTGTACGTGTGTCATTTACACCACTGGGGTCGTCACTGTCGCCGTCTTAATTTTTATATATTTCAAACTATTTTCATCGCAGTGTTTTAGGACAGCCCTGCCGCTGTGTTGACCATTATTTCACTGAATACTCGTGACCGTTGTGGTGCAGCTGTTTGACCCTTTGTATCAGATACCACCGTTGTCCCTGTGCAGGTGCCCTCTTGGAAGTGATGGGGGGCTGCTGCTGTCACCGGGCTGAGCTTGGGCGTCGGGGCCGGCTGCTGCTCATGTTCGGCATGACGACGGCATTCTTTCTTGTCGAGATCATCGTCGGCTACGTCACCAACTCCATGGCCCTAGTGGCAGACTCCTTCCACATGCTCTCTGACGTCATCTCACTTGTCATCGCTTTTCTCTCCATCAAGGTGAGCCATGCCTGATGACAGTGGAATGAGAAATCCCAAGACATCTTTCTGGGATGAGCTAAAGGTAGTGTGAGTTGGGCTCACCTAAAAGGGAACACAGGTGCATTTTCGACCATGTTGAGGTAATGCTGCTTCTAAATAGTATTAACTGTCTTGTAACAGCTAGGACGGTTCATTTTGCTGAGAGACTTGTCAGTAATTTTAAGTAAGCAATAAACAATGCATCACAACAGAAATCGAAACAGGGACTCGCTCTGTGCTGGGTATGCAATGACGTCATGAGAGACTCTACATGCCACCATGGCTGGCTAGGGCAGGCTTCTTCATCGTGCAGAAAGCAAGCTAGTGGTGTCGTCCGGCACAGAATCAAGCCGTGCCCGCTCGCTGAACTTACCAGTGACAAATTCAAAAGTTCGGCGATCAGTGGATTGTAGCTACTATCTGAGCGTGGAAGCATCGGCTTTTGATTTTGAGCTTATGCGCCCTGGATCGATCTCCTTGCTGCTCATTGTTGCGCGTGCTTACTGCAAGAGATGATGTCAGTGACGACTAACACGCTATGCTGTTGAGAAAACCGAATAACCGTGCTCACATTCTTGTTGTCTCGAAAAAGGCACATGCTGCAGTCATCTGCTGAGCGAGGCAAGGTTGGAACAGAGCTGGCACGTTGTGCCACATACTCAGAGTGGCCTGTGTTTACAAGCCTGATTCTGTAATTGGCTACTAATGTCCAATATACTTTTTCTAAGAAACCAAATTACTCGCGGTTGTAAAATTTAGCACATATCAAGGTATCGAAAAGAGTATATGTTGAAAGCTTATTCAAATAAGTATCTAAAAATCGCTGGAGTTCTCCTTTAAATCTGTACTGACACAATTCTGAGACATCCAAAGGGGACATTATTTTTGTTTGTTTTCCAGGTAACGCTCTTCACATTCTAGACTCAGACAAGACGTATAAAATATTTTACTTTGATTTCGAAGTTTTCGTCGCTGAGCATCGGCAAGTGAGCCTCACCACAATGGGCATTATCCCGATGAGCCAACACTGCTCCACTGAGTTTGCCAACTCTGCATCTCACATGAAGCCTAAATTACAGAAATCACTGTCGTGTTCGCTGGAAACAGTCCGCTGATTGTTGTTTACGTGTACCATAAACTAATGGCAGATCTGGCACTAATATGTGGCAAATCGCTGTCTTTCCTCGACGTCACACTGTCATGATACGTCACGGAAAAGCTACCTCCTCGTTATCGAAACTGTAAGTGTCTTTTTGAGGTAGCGGTATGAAAATATATTCGATGCATTATAAGGTACCACAGTAATCTTTTTAGGGTTCTCGAAACTCATGTCTATGTATACAGCAACAATCCCAAAGTATTTTAAATTCGTGTCAGTAGCCCTTTAGGCAGTTGCTCCTGTGTTGTTCTTGTGTTAGATACAGTTGAATCCGAGTATAAGAAACACTGATGTAAGAGACACTTGGTTTATAAGACACACTAGTGTGCTACATTAGAGTAGAGGTTGATAAGCAAATGCATAATCCAGTACCCCGCAAGAAACTACTAGAATGGAAATAATGGAGGGAATCTCAGATTATAACCTAATTTATTGCACTGTAGATGTGAATGACTATAAATCTCATCAACAGGCGTCGCTTTATTATTCTGACTTTACCCATGCTGACGACACAAGCATAATCGATTGTCTTGCTTTCGAATATGATTCATTCGTATCACTTACAGATAAGCTATCCATTGACATCGAAACACTGGAGTAGATTTACAGGCATCATGACATCATGCATAAAACGCTACGTACCGATCAAAAAGAAAAAAACTGGGCGACTGAACCCCTGGATAACACGGGACGTCATACACGGGAAACGAAAGGTAAAACGTCTAAGAAAAAAAAAAAACTGAACACGACACTAACTATTCTTAGTAGACACTATCTGACTTTAGCTGTTAGCGACATGAGAAGTAAACTAAAAGATTCTAAAAATAACTACTTTGCAAAGATACTTCCCACATTTTTGATAAGGGTTCCAAATAAATTTTGGAAATATATAAATTCAAAGAAAGAAGATGAGCTCATGCGTTCTTCTGACGACAACAACGATCTTGCCAACTCCTTCAATGATAACATTCAGTCAGTTTTTACTGTAGATGACGGAATCGTACCACTCATACAATCTTCAGACCATTCACCAATAGAACACTTAACAATTACCGAGCAAGGCGTGCTCGATCTACTAATAAATATCGATACCAAGAAGGGCCCGGGACCTGACAACATATCAAACATCTTCCTTAAAAGGTATGCAGAATGGGTAGCTAAATATTTATGTGTAATCTTTAATAAATCACTGCAATCATGCACTATCCCCGTAGTATGGAAAACCGCAAAAATTATACCAATACACAGAGCAGGCAGCAAAACCATAGTTTCAAATTACAGGCCAATATCACTAACTTGTTCTCTGTGTATATTGTTAGAACATATGATATTGAAACACATAAGTATTTACCTAGAAAAAAATCATATCCTGTCTCCTGTACAACACGGTTTCCGGAAAGGCTTTTCAACGGTTACTCAACTTTTAGAATTAACACACGATGCAGCCCAGTCCATTAATAACCATAAACAAATTGACCTCATCTTTTAGACTTCTTAGACTGAGCATAGACCAAATGGCATGACCTTGAACTCGAAGAGGCCGTCTGGTGTTACAAACGCAGTCTTTTCTCGGTCTCTCTTGTCTACTTCGATCTGCGAATAGCCTGTCTTGAGGTCCATTTATGAAAAGTATTTATTTGGCATTGTGGAGTCTATCAGTGGTGTCGTCTATCTGGGGGAGAGGATACATGTCGTTCTTTGTGATTTTGTTCAGGCGGCGATAGTCGGTGCATAGTGTTTCATCCTTTTTCTTCACAAACACCACCCTGGGCTCTTTGAAGGCTGCATGATGCCGTCGCATAGCATTTAGTCGCTTAGTTTTTTTATGGCCTCTCATTCTCGCGTCAAAACTCTGTACAGGCTCTGACAGAGTGGCCTGGCATTTTCTTCTGTTACGATTCGATGTTTCGCGACAGGGGTCTGTTGAATTCTCGATGACAGCGAAATGCAGTTCTTGTATTTTGAGAGCAGGTTTTTGAGTGGTTCTTGTTATGCGTAGAAAGGTTCGCTCAGTAACCGGCCATTTTTAGGCGCCGATACCTATGCGGTACCAACAGCTGCTCATACTTGCGAGGTTACACAGGGGAACAACAATACGGCTTGCTAGGAATTGGCTCCTCACAAGTTAGCTCGATATCGTTTTTCATCTAACCTAACCTGGAAACTTCAGATTGAACACGTGTCCTTTTCTGCTTCCCGCATGCTCAACTTTCTAAAACGCAACTTCAGTGATGCTCCTCCAAAAGTTAAAGAACTTTTATATTTCACCAACGTAAGATCCATTACGGAGTACGCCTGCGCCGTGTGGGACCCAGAATTTGAAAATTTATGTACACTGCTAGAACGCGTCCAGAACCGCGCCGCCCGATTTGTAACTAAAAATTATAGTTTTTGCACTAGCATTACATTACTTAAATCAGAGTTGGGCTGGGAAACACTAAGTAAACGTCGGTTGCATCACAAACTTGAACTACTATATCGTATTTATTTCAATAAGACTGGTCTTGATCCTAAAATTTTCTTACTAACCCCGCACTTTGTATCTAAGCGACGCGACCATGAATAGAAAATTCGTGGAATTGATTGCCGTACTGATGTGTACAAGGGTTCTTTCTTTCCCCATTCCATTGAGGCCTGGAATAAACTACCAGGTAGTATTGTTAATTGTACATCTGATGCTCTGTTTCACACGTTTTTGTCGCACATGTAAATTTTTCATTGTGGCACTGCTTGTACATTTGACACGCTATTGTGCAGATTTGTACCACTTATTCTCATGTCAGTTCTCTTTTTCCTTTTCTTTTTTTTTTCCCATATGATGAATCGTATTCATGTATTTGCATATACCCCCCTGCTGTAATGCTTTGTTGGCGCTGCAGGTAAAATGAATGAATAAATAAATAAATAAATAAATAAATAAATAAATAAATTGTGTTCGATCACCGTCGTGTTTCCGGGACGGTTCGAAAACACGTCTCTAAACTCGGAAACAATCATTCTCAGGTCCTCCTTCTGGACTTCACTTAACCTAGGCTCTAGGTTCAACTGCTCCAAGATTACCTCCGATCCCCTTTCGATTACTTCACTAGCACTCAAAATTTCTGCTCCCTCTTCCTCTGAAGCATACAACAGCAGATTACGACCGCTTGACGTTGAACGTATGGTTTCATCAAGTTACTGTGGTAAATTTTCTTCGGCCGCCTTCCTAATTTCACTTCATAATTGGCATCGAAACCTTCATGGGTGCCTCCCACTTGTCCGCGGATTTCCCCGCTCTCTGACAAGTGTCGCATGAGCGTACAAAGTCTTCAATATTCTTCCAGCATTTCGGCCAATAAAACTCAAGGGAAACTCTAGCCTTGGTCTTTTTTATGCCGAGATGCCCGGCCCACGCGTTTTCATGTGCCAGTTCCAATAGTTGGCGACGATACTTTTGTAGCACCAAGAGCTGTTCATATTTGCAACCTTGCACATTTGTGTAGCTCCGAAACAGGAGCCCTGCTTTCTCAAAAAAAGAAACATACTTTTTTCGTTTTTCCCAAGTTTACGCTTCCCATTAGTGCTTTAATCGAGACGTCCTCACCCTGCTCTCGAATGAGCGTTTCTCGATCAACCCTCGACAGCTTATTCCAACTTTCCGCTACAGGCGAGGGCGTTGCACCCCTCTCGCTCTGACTCAATGGCGCCATGTCGTCTCCCCCTGCTACGGAAACCGCGCCAGTCGCTTCGGCGACGGGCCGCTCAAGTGACTGCTCACATGACTCGCACGGAGAATTTCCTCTCTGAGGTTCCGTCGACTCGCCGCCATGGTCACTTGATG